CTCTCTTTTGCCTCTCTCTTCCAGGTGTATGAATACTCGTGATTATTTGGGGCAGACCTAGATAATTGTCCGTCTCAAAGTAAACTGAGTAGTAACCTTAATTCTCCTTTGCCAAGTAAGCTAATATAGTGATGGGTTCCAGAGATTAGGATGTGGATGTTTTTGAAGGGCCATTATTCTGCTCCTCATGTGTTTTCTCATTAAGCACTTACTACTATACATTTCGTTCTATTCACTTAGTTTCCCCCAAATTGATGCATTGTGCATTCATATTTTTTTTTAGTTATAGGTGGACACAATGTCTTTATTTTATGTGGTACTGAGGATCGAACCCAGTGCCTCACATGTGCTAGGAGAACGCTCTACCTCTGAGCCACAACCCCAGCCCCCTGCACTCATTTTTATTCAGTTCGAAGTATTTCTGATGGTACTTTGTCTCTGATTCACGAGCTATAAGTCATGTTTTAAAATTTCCAAATATTTGTGTTTTCCAGTTATCTTTCTATAATCAATTTCTGCTTTAATTCTTTTAAGGTCACAGTTCACACTTTGTATGATTTCAGTTCTCTTAAATTTGTTAACATTTGCCTTGTGAGCTAATACTTAGGATCCAATATATAATCTATTTCAGAGGATATTCCTCGTGTGCTTAAAGTTATAACAATTACAACAGCTGCCTTGAGGTCTAAAAATTCCAACAGCTGGAATATCTGTGTTGATATCTGTTGTCTTTTTTTTTTCTTAAGAATTTTCACATTTTCCTGGCTCTCTGTATATAAATGCTGGACATTTTTGACATATAGTTTAGACTCCAGGTCTTGTTCAGATGTCCTAGGGAATATGCATTTTTGTTTAACCATCAACCCAGACAGGTTCAGACCAAAAGTTCTGTGACAATCTTCTATAGCTGTGGTTTCAGTATCTATTCACTTTACAAAGGGTTTGTTTAGTAAACCCTATCTTACACATGACTGCTTTGTAGTCTGTGTCTTAAACAGTGGTTTAAAGTGCAGAATTCAGTTTTTAGTCTTTGCCGTGCTCTTTTGGGTGTGTCCAGAATGTGTACAGCTCAGGGGTGAGCTGGGAGCCTGTGCTAATTAAAACAGAATAAGGGGATGCCTCCTTCAGCTGTGTCTGACTTCCCTTCTTGTACCACAAAGTCCCCTTCTCCCTGTCTGCTGGCCAGAAATATGGAGTTTGTCTTGGAATTTTTTGTTCCACCACTACTACTGCACTATTTAGGTAATCCTCAAGGCAAGGAGGAAACAGAAAAATCACCTCCATACTCTTACACTGCAAGGACTCTTTCCCCGTTTCCCCTGTACAGAAAGGGTTCCATCAATTTTAACTGTTGGTACCACTTGCTACCAGGGCTTTCCCGGTGGCTTACCTACCACAAGTCATCAGAGGAGAGAGAAGATAAAAACACTCACTAGTGAGCTTCCAGGAACTTTTTTACTTTTATTTTTTTAATTTTGAGGGTTTTCTTTAGACTTTAACCTGCCAGAGGCGCCACTATGCCATCCTTTGACTCAAGACCAAGAGAGAAAAGCGGGATATTGGGAAATTCACCTTTGCATGAGTCTTCAGCTTTCATAGCCCTCCCCAATTCACTTGCTTCCTCCCACCCCTGCCCCAGTATTCTCAGTTCCCTTTCGTCCAGAAATTTTACTTTATTCAGTGGGAGAGAGCTTTAGTGGCTCAGTCCACTTTGTGTCTAAAAATCCATAGTTGCCTTATTTTTAAGAGCCCCAAACTGGAAACAACCCAACTGTCCTTTAACATTAAAATGGACAAATTTCACTATATCTGTATGTCTGTTATATAATACAGCAACAATGAAAAACTACAGAGACAACAACTTGGGTATATCTTATTTTTGTTGTTTAGTGACAGTCTGAAAATAAACTATTTTCAGCTTTCGATAAAATATACAATTTATATAGTTCTTTTTATATAAAGTGCAAAAGAAGGAGAAGTTATATTCTAATGTTGGAAATGAAGGCAGTTGCTAGAGAAGGAAGAGAAGGAAGAAACTAATGGCATCAGGAGCTTTTGGGGTGCTGTGACCATCCTTTTTTGGGGGGGTACTTGGGATTGAACTCAGGGGCACTAGACCACTTGAGCCACATCCCCAGCCCTATTTTATATTTTATGTAGAGACAGGGTCTCACTGAATTGCTTAGCACCTTGCATTTGCTGAGGCTGCCTCTGAATTCACAATCCTTCTGCCTCAGCCTCTGGAACTGCTGGGGTTACAGGCTTGAGCCGCCATCCTATTTTTCATCTAATATAGATGGAGAACACACATGTACTCACTTAGTAATAATTCTTTGAACTAAACAGTTGTTTTGTGCACTTTTCTGGACTGTGTATGAAGGGGAATTTTTATTTTTTGAGATTGAGGATTGAACCCAGGGGCACTTAATTACTAAGCCACATCCCCAGCCCTTTTTTAGATTTTATTTAGAGACTGGGTTTCACTGAATTGCTAAGTGCCTTGCTAAGTTGCTGAGGCTGCCTCCCTGATCTTCCTGCCTCCGGAGCCGCTGGATTACATCCATGTTCTGCTGTGCCTGGCTGACAGGAGAATTTATAAGGAGGCTATTGAGATGCCTGCTGGAATGGAAGGACAGAGTGATGCTGAGCCTCATGAACAACTGAGCCAAGAGCTCAAAAGCTGTTGGAATCTCCTCACTACAAATGCTTCCTCCAGGATAATATGCCACTGATCTGAAACCATTATATTTTATGCATTCAGGCACTTATGATGTGGATCTACTGTTTTGTTTGTTCAGGATTTGGCCTGCTTATGCAAACATGAAAAATGGCCTACTCCCATTCTGTCCATGTGGTTTTCATGGGTAGCTACTGTGTCATACCTTTAATCCTCTGACTGCACTTAATTAATCTAGTCATGGGCACCTAACCTTAGAAATTTTTAAGTTGGGACAAGAGTTCTGCTTTTTTTTAAAAAAATTTAGTTGTAGGTTGGACATAAAAACTTTATTTTTTACTTATTTTGTGTGTGTGGTGCTGAGGATTGAACCCAGGACATCACACATGCTTGGCAAGCACTCTACCACTGAGCCCCAGCCCCAGCTCATACGATTTCTGCTTTGGAATAAACATTGTTGGGGTGGGACATGGAAATGTTTTCACAACATTACAGGTGATTATAAAGTGGAAGAACTTTAATATAAATGATCTGAATTCTTTATTTGGTTGCCTGTTATATCTTTAAAGTATTTTAAAACTGGCATTATGGAAGCTGGGGGTGCAGCTCAGTGGGAGGGCAATTGCATAGCATGCACAGGCCTTGGATTCAATCCCTAGCACAAAACCAAACCAACACCCCACCCCTTAAAACCTGGCATTGTATTCAACCAATAGTGTCTTTTCTTCTCTTGGAGATTGGGACAGGCACTTCAGCATCAATAAGGGATACTGTATGAAGGACAATGTTAGATTTGTTCAAATTTTGGAATTAATATTTTTATACTTTTTTTTTGGGGGGGGGGTGTTGGGGATTAAATGCAGGGCCTTGGGCATGGAAGGCAAACACTCTACCAACTGAGCTATATCCCCAGCCCTATTTGTAGCAAATTCACCTAAATCATGGCAGTCATCAGTGACTTCAGAGTTAATAGTGTGCTCAGTGGTTTTAGTTTTAAAACACATACACAATGTATGATGATTAAATGAGGGTCTTTAATGTAGCCATCACCTCATTCATCATGCCTTTATGATGAGTTCATTCAAAATAACCCTTCTAGTTATTCTGAAATACACATTATTGTAAATTATTTTCATTGTACTATGCAACAAAACACTAGATCTTCTTCCTTCTAACTGTAATTTTGTACTTGTTGACCAATCATTCCCAATCTACCTTCCTCTTTGGTACTGGGGATTGAATCCAGGGGTGCTTTATCATTGAACCATGTCCCCAGCCCTTTGTGTTTTGAGTCTGGGTCTCACTAAGTTACTTAGGGCCTCGCTAAGTTGCTGAGGCTGGCCTGGAACTTGGGATCCTGCGACAACCTCCCGAGTCACTGCAGTTATAGGCTTGCATCACCACATCTGGTCATCTTTCTTAAGGACCAGATGTGTATTTAAAGAAAGAACTGGTTTGAAATTGGCATGTTTAAAGTGAGTTGTAGTAAATAAGGCTGGAGTGTGATATCTACTCCATTTTCAGACTGGTAACCAGACGGCCACTGAGCTCATCCAAACTTCTATTTAGGATCATTCAAAATGCGTGCAAATTGGTTACACGCAAGCTTTTACTCCATTCCACCAGTTACTTTCTCTAAAAAATCTCTTAACATTTATTCTGCTTTTGTATCTCAAAGTAAACTTTGACATGGCAAATATTTTACAAAACCTCCATGTGAGTTTTCCTGCTTCACTGGATATATAGTAAATTTAGGTAAACTTCTAATTTATTGACTTACAAGTATACTGAAATTTAATTATTATTAAATGGTTCAAGTTTTTTGGTTGGCTTGGAGAAAAATTCAAGCATAAGGGTGTTAGTTTTGTCTGAGAGAGACTGTAAAATGAGGCATAGCAAATACTTCTCCTAAAGCAACATGTAGAAACTCTTTAAACCATGTACAAGTTTTAGTTTTTCCACCTATAAAAGATGTATTTATATTTGGTTTGAATTTTCCCTCTTGGAAACTTAGTTCTTTTTTTTTCTTATTTAATATAATGCTAGATTTTTCTAACTAGACACCAATTCATAGCATCTGAAAAAGTTCCCAGAAAACCAAACTACAAATTTACTCCAAATAATCCACATACGAAATAACCTAGGATAGAGAGAATATGATATAATTCAACATCAAGAAGGCTAAAACTGAAAGGGCAATAAAATTGGGGTTGTGTATTTAAAAAAAAAAAACAACTGAGAAATTAAAATCAGTTGCAGGAATTTGGGGGAAGAAGAAATCTTACCATATCCAGAAATTAATAAAACACGTGAAAAACAAATATAAATTTAATAATAAACATTATGGTCAGGCTGTTTATTAAGGAGCAACCACACATACAAGTTCAGCTATAGAAATGTTTGCAAATCAAACTTCATGTGATCTAAAAGGACCATGCGTAATGTCAAAAATGGACACCTGTACAGTCAATAGAAAGTTAATTTAAACATACATAGTCTAGATCATCCTAGAGTTATACAAACATCTGGGGCCACATATGTATCTCATTTTCTTTCAAAAAAACTTTTTTTTTCTATAAAAGTGATGTTTTGAAATAATTTTAAAAAGTATCTGACAATTATGAATGGTCCCCAGTTTTACAAAATGTGATTTCCAGGGTATGAAAACTGAAAAAAGTCAACTCTTCAGAGAGCGTTTTATATTATACAAACAAGTTTTATAGAAAAATGATCCAGCAAATGCTCGAGTTAAGAATATTTATATTTTTTTCCAATTCTTTACACTTTTATTAACACACTTACAAAAAATAACATTCAAACACTGAGAAAATTAAATAACTTTGGAAGCAGAGTTCATAGCTTTCTGCTTACATATAAATGACAATTCTGGGATGTTGGCACAAAATAATCAACATTCATAAACCCTTACTACTATATATCAAACATAAGTTAAAATCATAGGCACTAGTTTATCAAATCCACATTTCTTCTGTAAGACTAACCACAGTAAATCCTTAGATTTTCCCAAACAGAAAAACTGGCAATACACAAAGGCTCTCTAGTAAAAAGGCATTTTTTTTTTCTCTTTAGGAAACTAAAAGCCAAAAATCTGTGGTAGTACAATAGCAGGTAAAATAATACTTTACCAAACTCAGATCCAAAATATGTTTTTAACAAGTGATGAAACTGTTTAATTAAAAAAAAATAGACTTTTTTTTTTTTTTCTGATGCAGCCATTTAAAAACAAAGTTAAATAACCTGAATATTCCTTTTGAAACTGATTATCTAACTAAAAAGGTAATGGATGTTTCATAACAGGGTTAAAGTTCCTTTTAATTATTAGATTGCAGCATATATTTTTTGAAATGTTGCACTGAAAATGGAGACCTGTTTTGTTTTTTTTATGGATGGTATTTTTAAATGAGACAGTGGCTAATTCTTTATTTACTTAGATTTACATGAGATAACCCCCCTCACCAAAGCAGATGCTTTATTTTCCTCTGAAAAAGCAACATTTTCCAGTTCATTAGCATGTAGAATTCTGGCATCATTCTTCCCAGACCCACCCCATCACCTTCAATTCAAGGATACAATTTCTTCCTTGCAATATACGCCATACTGGCAGTTTAAATCTGCAGCTGCTTGTGCTAACCCAATGCCTTCCTAATGGTCAAGCTATTAGGTGTCAGTCACAGCAATATGGGAGTCTTGGTTTTATTACTCTTTTAACCTATCAACCTCAATGCTGTTCTGAATATTGTCTTCCATTTCTCTCTCAATTTCCTTTGCCAACTTATAGAATGTCTTTAATAGGAAATAAACTTATGATTAAATCTCTAAAATCTTTTAGGTGACCCAACTGCCAATATTTTAGAGCTGTTTAAGTACTTAAAAACAGACCTGATGTCAAAAATGAGAAGTCTGCTACAGAAGAAGTTTTAGTTTGGTAATAATCTGATAAAACAAAAACAGGTGATTTCAAGGATGGTATATAAGAGCCATTAGAAAGCAAGTATTTATTTAACAGATTAGAGTCAGGTACAGTAGGTTTGTTACCAAAAATGCAAAAATTGATGTAAGGCAGAATTTAAGTCAAAAGGGACAGTATTTTCAAAAGATTTTATACAGTTACCCAGTATAAAGTGAATCAACCTAAGTAGGATTTAGCAGGCTATATTTCCTACCACATAATAGACAGTTATGCCATTTAATAGCAATAATTCAACCGTCACCACCAGAGACTTTGTAGGTTAAGTGCATAGATTTTTTTCCCCCTCTCTCACTGTATGGTTTTGTTCCAGGTTGTAAGCACTGAGGTGCTGTATCAAGAATAAAGACACACACTTGTTCTTTCCCATCATGGAAAACCTGCCGATATAAATGAGATATCTTAATTCTGTGACAGATAACAGCATGTGAAGAAGTTGGCTTCAGTAGCAAAGGCCATCTTCCTGAGCCAGGAAGTATAAAGTTTAGAAAGATTGTACAACTGATATTGAGCCCTTTTGGCAATCAAAACAAACACAGATAAGTCTGATGTGTCAATGCAACATGATGGATGCACACTGTAACACTATCTGGTGGTGCTGATGTGAGCTATGTCCAAAATTTAAGATTAAAAAATTTTTCCAATAAATCTGAAAAAAATAATCCATAGATTCTTTTAAGTGTATGTACCATATTTTAATCTCTAGTCTGGATTTCTTCCTCCCATTCTCCTCCCAACCCCAAATCTTAACCTCGTTTTATGGAGAATTCAATCACTTTAGATAATTAGTCAGAATATTAGTTCTCATTAACACAAATATTTATTGATACCATTTATACAGTAAATTAGGTTGAATGCGAAGTTTTAGGTAGCCTAAATTCACCATTTTCTTATGCACAAAGGTACTCTCTCATTTACAAATGGGCATTTCTCTTTGGCATCCATTAGGTATTTGCCCAGATATTGGCCTTTGACAAATATTTAAAAATCAACCAAGGTTCTATTAAACAAAACTAAAAGTGATTCCATGTAGAGTGATTGTATGATTACCAAACACATCAGATGTTAAATGTCATTAAAGTGCTGCTTGATCATCTCTGTCGGTTTGTGCTAATAAGACAGAGAGGGCTGGGATTTTATAAATCCCAAGAGTCTTATCGGAACAGTCTGCATATAAAAGTTGTTTATTAGCTTGGTGAAGGGGTATCCATGAAACCGTGGATCTCTGCATTCTTGTCTTTGCTGGTCAATAACAGCCATCTTTCCAACTGTCATCTTTCATGCTACCATAGGTTTTAGGAGCTGGCAAGGATCTGAAATAAAGCAATTTTATAATGATTTGCATGTCTTTACAAAACACTACCACACTATCTCTCACATATATTATTTTTGAGGTGGCATCCCTTTCAGAAAGCTCTACATAGCTATTTGTACAACCTTTCTTCATTCTGCCTTTTCATAACTTTCAAGTTTCACAGTGACTTCTGTAGCCTCTTTGTTAACATAGCTACTCACTTAAGATAAGGGAAAGATTGTTTCACCTTTTCCACTACATGGATAATGAACCTTTTGTTTTGAGAGGTAGAATGATGATTGTAATATTAGAGGCTCTGTGTTGCGATCCCTAGAGATGCAGTATGGGATAGTGGCTAAAAGGACTTTAAAGTCAGACATACTTCGAACTAAAGGCCCCATAATTTGTGTGGCTGCAGGTAAAATATTTTATCTCATTAGATTTCAATATCTTCGTCTAAAAAATAGAAATAATAAGAGTACCTATTCATTACTGTGAAGATTAAACAAAGTGTAAGTTATTAGCACAGTGCAGAGAGCATAAAAAGCCACTGCACACTACTACTGAATTTGGAAATGTAAACTGTTTACATTAGAATTAAAGTACAGGTAATACAGTTTAAATACTTAGAGAATAAAAGCCTTTTCATAAGCAAATAAATATTTGAAGTTTAATTGTAATTGATACGTAAATTTATTGATGGTGATAATCCTATTCTTGAATGGTAAAAATTAGAATCATGGGTCCCATCCTGGTTGGGATGAGAATCACCTGACGATTAAACGAACACACAAAACAAAGAAACAAAAAAAAACCACATACACAGATTTTGGGCCTCATGTCAGATCAACTAAGTCAGCCTCTGTGGGGGTAAATTTAGGCCTTTACATTTATTAAAAAAAAAAAAAAATCCACAGAAAATTCTGAATTGTGCCAGTGTTTGAAAATTGTACTAGGCTTATAAGTTGTACTAAGACTTGGTAGCTGCAAGTTTTATCTTAAATATCACTCTAGAGTCTATCACATTTTTATTATCTTTATTAAATATAGTTATATTCAAAATGAACAAATATCACAACCAAATTGAGTTGTAATTTTTTTCTAGAAGTCTTTTTGAACATATTAGGAATCTGAATAAATTTAATGTGTACCAAACTGATATCGTGTTCCAAATGAGGATTTCATCAGAGCAATGAAGTAACGTTTTATTTCATATACGAAGATGCTAGTGGGAACCTACTATGGTTCTCTAAGTTCACTATCAAATTTAAGTAAGGCTAACTCCAGCCTACCTCCTTTCATGTGCTCAGGAATGCTGAAACAAGTCACTTACCTGCGAACGGGCTGTGCAAGTTTGCTGCGAGGCACTGGTATACCCCCAGCAGAAGGGGCACTGGGTCTGGGCAATCCACTTCTCATTGCCGTTGTCCCTGCAGGTCTGGTTAACGTAGTGCTGTTGATATTGCTGGGAGGATTTGCTGGAACTGTATTTTGAACCATAGGAGGCCCAGGTGAGGAGGTGGTTTGTGTGAACTGTGTTGTTTCTTGGCTACCAGGAGAACCATGGTTACTAAATGCTTTCACTGGTTGCCGAAGAGCCAAAGGAGATGGTGCTGCAGGGGAGCGGAATTTGCCTGGAGAAGGTACTGTGGAATGGTAAAGAGAAACCAATGATTTGAGTGGAAACCAAGTATAAGTGAAACCACTGCTTTATATTATAGTTGATGATTGGGGACTAGTATGTCCGTATTTACGAAACTTCACTCTAACATATGTGCAAGGAATAAAGAATATTTCTGGGCTAATAAAAGGAAAAAAGATAACTGGTTCCAAATAACCAAGTCCTCACTTGGAAGGTTACAAATTTCCTTAAAAAAATGTTTTAACCAAGCTGGGTGCGGTAGCATATGCCTGTAATCCCAGCAGCTCAGGAGGCTGAGGCTGGAGGATTGCGAGTTCAAAGCCAGCCTCAGCAAAAGTGAGGTGCTAAGAAACTCAGTGAGACCCCGTCTCTAAATAAACTACAAAATAGGGTTGGGGATGTGGCTTAATGGTCAAGTTCAACCTGAGTTCAACTCCCAGTATTCCCCTTCTCTCCCCCCAAAAAAGTTTTAACTAGGCCAGCTTAGAACCCACAATATCAGAAGAGAAATGGCTCTATAGGATTCTGTTTCACTGTAGCAACTAACTAGGGCCACATGAGAACATTTTAGAGGTGTGGGGTAAGGCTGACTATCAGAGTATTGTCTAGAATTTGAAACTCATTTCTCTCCTCAAAGAAACATTCATGTAAACAAATATATCAGGCTGGGGATATAGCTCAGTTGGTAGAGTACTAGCCTCACATGCACAAGGCCTTGGGTTCAATCTCCATCACCCAAACAAAAAAACCCCAATATATCTGGTGGTTGTATCTCCAAAGTCTTCTATCAAAATATAACTAAAAATTTAGGAACTAAGAATTAAACAAACAAAAAATCTCCTAGTGCTGTACCTCACAAAGCAAGGAATTTATGAATCTAGGGGCTTATAAAGAGGTCCGTCTGTGAAGTTACAGAATAAAAATGGTATATTTTTCTGGAATGTCAATTCTACTAAGTAAAACGTTTATATCAAAACAAATACCAATACACAAAAGAATAAAATGTACAATGTACATTGATTTCTAAACCAAAACAAGTCTTTAAAATAAATTTTATTGTTTCAATTGGTTGCTCTGCAATGTACGTTCAGGTTTTCTGGGGTACACATTCATCTTTCTCTGCTTACTTCATGTTTAGATAACTTGCCTCTGACAGGGCACCAGTTTTAGTTTCCTCACATGCCCAAAGGTGGCTACACACAATATAACATGCTTTATCCAAGGAAGAACTCTGGAGTAGGGAATCAGAGAGAATGAAGGAGAGAGGGTGGTAGAGGGAAAAGGGATCAGAAGTAGAAAGATAACTACTTTCACTTTACCTCCATTAGTTTGAGTAGCACATGAATGGAGGTTAAACCTGGGCCATAGAAATGTATTATTCTACACATTTTCATCTTCCTCACTTCTACCAATCCATCTATATGCCAAAAGTGGCAATAAGGTCTATCACAACAATGGCAGGAGACAATGAGTCTGGACACTAATTTCATCTGGTCTTTGGGAGAGAGAATGAACCTTGGCTTCAAAACTTCAAAATAGGAAAAATCCATCTCCTATTTCCCTTTCAATAGTTTTTGTTCATAGCCCTCTTCCCTCCTAGCTGATCTTGCCTGTTCTCTGTGTGACTAAAGTTCCAAGTGTCAGCACCATTGTGTTGAATATATACTAGACCCCACTGCATGATGTACTCAAATTATATCTGTTTGGCTCCAAAACCCGTATAACCATGACTTTCAAACTTGTCTGTGCCTCAGAATCTTAAGCAGCTTTTGAAAAAATATATGGCAGCTCAGATACCACTTTCACAGAAATAAGTCTGAAATGGAATTTAAATATGTATGTATTTAAAAACTAGGATCTTTTACCGAGATAGAGAAATGGGGAAGGAACTTACCTGATAAAAACACCTACAAAACTGGACAAAATATATTAAAGACATTAAAATGCTGGACAACAGGGAATATAAGAACATGATCTCTGTAAGAAGGAAAACAAATAAGACATAGAGTCCCATGGTCTACCTGACTATTTCCCTCCCTCCCCTGAGACATTTTATGGCTATAGATCAGAGAGGAGTATCCTACTGTTAAGTCAGTTTTTTTTTTTTTTTTTTTTTTTTGGTCACTGTGACCAAAATATCTAAGAACAACTCAGAGGAAGAAAAGTTTGTTTGGGGTTCACCAATTCAGAGGTTCATTCCATGGTTGGCCAATTCATTGCTCTGGGCCTGAAGCAAGACAGAACATCATGGCAGAGAGCCAGTGGAGGATGGCTGCTCAGCTTATGGTAACAGAGAAGGAGGCGGGGTAGTGGTGGGTAAGGAGCCAGGGACAAAACAATCTCCTAGGGCATGCCCCCAGTAAACTACTTCCTCCAGGCATACTCCACCTGCCTATAGTTACCACTCAGTAGTCCATTCAAATTATTAATAGATTAATCCACTAATGAGGTTACAGCTTTCATAATCCAATTATTTAATCTCTGAACATTCCTGCATTGGGGACCATGCTTTCAAAACCTTAGCTTTTCAAGGGGCATTTCTAGGTCCAAGCAATAACACCTATACAGATCAAAGCTATCTTGCAGAGTGGAGAAGATAAAAACCAGAATTTGAGGGGCCGAGTACCTTAGAGGAGGGGGCTGAACAGAAGACCTCCTCAGCTCAGAAGTCTGTTTGAATCTTTGGCTGAACTGAATACTAAGCTGGAGAAGTACAGAGTGAAGCTCTGTCAGACTGGGCAAGAAGTCTGGAGCACTGTAAACTGAACAGTTGCCAAAGCTCATACAGAACTACTCCATATTTGGGTTTCAACCTGTTACAGTAACAAGTCCTTGCCAAATATCTATGAGATATTCCAAATGCAGCCAGGAGATATTCCAAAAGGGTCAGGCCTTAAGGGGCGGGGGAGGGGGAAGCGGTAAACTATACGTAAAGGCTACTCTAACAAAGTTAAGAAAAACATGCCTCTAAAGCAGAGTTTAGCAAATTATTGCTGATGAGCAAGTCAACTGTTCTTGTAAATAAAGTTTTATTAGAATACAGCAACACCCATTTCAAAAATATATTGTCTACTTTCAACTATTTTGGCAGAATTAAGCAGTTTTTACAAAGACCATACTGCACACAAGTCTAAAATATGTATTATATGGCCCTTAAGAAAACATTCATTGATCTCTCCTTTTAGAAAAGGTCAAACTAATCTACAAATAATGTGATTACTTGCCACAACAAAGTCTAACACTATTTAAAAGAAGATAAATCTATTACAGAATAATGTAAAATTCTACAATGTCCACTGTTCAATAATTACTAAATAATTAATTCAATAATTACTAAAAGCAGAAAAACAATCATCAACACCAGGAGAAAAATTAGTTATATCAAGAGCCAAATACATGCTATATAAAAGAGACATATTTTAGATACAAAGATGGAGGTTAAAAGGATGGAAAAAGATGCACCATATCAGTACTGATCATGAAAAAGCTAAAATGTCTATAATAATTTTTATCAGAAAAACACTACCACTAGAAACAGACTTTATAATGTTAAAGGAGTCAGAAAAAATGATGTATCAACCCTCAATGTGTGTGTGTGTGTGTGTGTATCTCAAAACAGATAACAACACACATGAAGCAAAGGACATAAGTGAAAAGTGAGGGGAAAGGTCCAAAACTAGAGTTGAGTAATTCAACACCTCTTTCTTAGTAACTGATCAAATAGGTTGAAAGTCAGAAAGGACATAGGCATGAACACTAGTGAGTCAAGTTGCCCTGACATTTATAGAATACTCTGTCAAATAATATATGATTTTCAAGAATAGTAGAACACTCATTCACTAGGCCATACCTGTTGGTATAGAAAAGTCCTAAATATTTGGAAATTTGAAAAACCTCTGTTTTAAACGATGCATGGGTTCATGAAGAAATCATCGGGGAAATTACAAAATATTCCAAACTGAATGAAAATGAAAACAACATAAAATCTTAGGGAATGGACCAAAAGCAGTGTTCAATTTATAGCTTTTAATATACTTTTATTAGAAAAGAAGTCTAAATCAATTAGATAAACTTCTACTTTAAGAAGTGAGTAACAGGGCCTGGGGTTGTGGCTCAGTGGTGTAGCACTTGCCTAGTACATGTGAGGCACTGAGTTTGATCCTCAGCACCACATAAAAATAAATAAATGAAATAAAGGTATTGTGTCTGGATACAACTAAAAAAAAAGTGAGTAACAGTAAATTTAGCCCAAACTTAGTAGAAAGAAGGAAATTATAAAAATAAAAGCAAACATCAATAAGCTATAGAAAAAAACAAAGAAAAGGAGAAAAATGGTAGATCAAATGGTCCTTAAAATGTCAACAAAACTGGTAAAATTTTAGAAAGACCAATGAGGGGAGAGGAATGTTACAAATTACTAGTATCAGGAAGGAAAGAAAGAAATGTTACTGCAGATTTTGACACTGAATATTATACAAATTTTTTTTTCAGATTACAGAGGACACACAGTCCTAAGTCATTGTTATCAGGTCAGCAATGCCCTGATATCAAAGCCAAATAAATAAAAGAACACAGATACAGAAATCCTTAGTAAATGTTACAAAATCAAATCCAAAAACACACAAAAAGATGCCATCATGCCCAAGCAGGGTTTATCCCAGAGATACTAGGTTGTTTAAATACAAGGTTGGTAATAATGGCTGAAAAATCAACCAATGCAATTTTAGACATTAACAGACTAAAAGAAAACCATATGAGCATATGAAACTTTTTAAATGAAATAAAGAAAAACTATGAAAAAACTAAATATATCATCATATATAATGGTAAAGTCAGAAATGACATAGACATTAACACTATGAATTAAGCTGTCCCTGATTAAGGTTGAATGCTTTCATCCTACATGGGGAAGAAGGCAAAGATGTCTATTCTTACTTTCTTCTATTTAACATTGTAGTGAAATACTTAGCCAGTACTGCATGCCGCCCTCTCTTTCAAAAGGCA